TTTGTTAGCTTTCCTAGGAGTCTCGACAGTTAGCCACTGACGAGACACCTATGCGCAGAGGTTTTCACTCCGGCAGGTGTATTGGTAAACACCTCGCAGGAACCAATGTGCATATGGAAGATTTCTGCTAGAGTGCGCTGACACCTTAGGCCCTTCAGGGGTGCGGTAATGGTGCCGGCAACCCTTATGGAGAAGGGCATACTCATGTTGGTCGGGGCGACCTGATGGGGGAGTTTTTGGTATAAGTCTGACTACTTGAAGCTTATACGAGAACTCTCCTGCCCCGACACAATCAACATCCTCTCGAGAGACTTTAATTGAGATAAGCCAGAGCTTAACGATATTAAGTTTTACCGTTTACTTTTATTCTTTACACTTTTGCAAGAGCTGTGTTCGAGAGATTCAAAGTTTGGTGCTGTCGCATCCTTAGGAGCCATCTACCTGAGGGAGCCCCCGTTACAGTATGGGGTTGCTTTTCAAGTATTGAGTCCATATATTGCTAATTGTTAAGGATAATAACTTAGAATTCTTTTATGATAGTATAAGAATTGAATTAGTATATTTCGTAGTCAGTTAATATCCTAGTAGAATTCAATCTCATCCAACTTATTCAGGTACTACTACTATAGGCTCATCTTTTAGTTTTATACTAACTATTCTATTTGGTGCTTGTTCTTTCTACCTAAACTATCAATAATTCTATTATACCTAAAGTCACTATCTTAGTACCTTGACTTTGCAACTGGTCTTAGCTAGGATTAGCTTTTCTTCCCTCTTTAACCAGTCAGTTACTTGTTGGATTTGTGTTTCTATATTTACATAGAATTCATAAGACTTTTTTCGAGAATTTAGAGGAAAGAAAAAAGTTCATTGCAAGGGTTTCACAGGAATGCCATGTAATTGAATCATTGAGCTATTAGGATAATTGAGGTATCTGGCACTCCATAATAGTACTATCGAACTTTAATGGTCACTTAGCATCCTTCAAAGCGGCAGGAACCTTAACAGTTACCCTTTCCACCATAATATTTAGGATATATGCCAGTATAAACTCCTACTAGCGAAAGGAAACCCGTATCCAGTGAACAAAACGAGTAGAATCGAAAACAGAACTCAGGTATAGTTTAAAAAAAAAAAGTATGTCGTCCCAGGCCCACCCATGAGAACAACCGGTACTATCGGATCACTTCTCAGGGACCATAAAATGACTCATAATCCAACCCTCCTTCCTGTACCAGGAAAACCCACCATCTAACAATATCGCGTAGCTACGAAAGAGGTTTTGTTGAATCTCACGGGTCTTTACTCCCCGATAAACCAACCGACAGTAACTGTAACATTGCAGATAGTGGAATGATAAAAATGATTTCCCCAACCGAACAAACTCCATTCCACAACCCGTATGAATCCCAAAACAAAGGAGATAAAAAGAAAAGTGATAGCTCAAGAGAAGAAGACAGCTCTGGGATCTATAATCATGAAACATCAGTAAAGGACAAGACCGGAAAGGGGGCATCCAGGTTGACAAACCCATAGGTCTCCCATCCGCAGCTATGCCGTTCTTCAACAGCTTCTGCTCCATGAATATCCGTCGGGCCTCGTCAAAGTTGACTCTTTGACCCTTCATAATTCTCAAGACTTCTTTCTTCGATGCAAGGTCCAGGCCGCCTCGTGCATCTCCACCGGCAAGATTTCCGGAAAGGTTGAAGTCATCGGAACTAAAGCACGTTAACGTGACTGAAAATAATAAGAAAGGCCAGCCGGAAGAGGCTGGGTGGGTGCTGACGAGCAGCGGGGGTATCAAGCGTACCTTAGTCCAGCTTCAATGTCGGATTCGAAAGAAGAGTTCAGCCTGTGGTAGGTATGTTGGGAGATCATATTGGATATAGGAGGCAACCAGCGAGAGCGATAGACGTAAAGTCCTAGTTCGGTGGTGGTGGTGATAGTTAGATAAGTTGTGAAGTGTTTGTGTCGAAATGTTATCGGTGGGATGGCAGGGGAAAGGTGAGGAGAAGGGGGAAAGGTCGAGTATTTACCTGTCGCGATGAGCATCAAGAATAGGGCCCAAGTCCACAGCATGTAGTTGTCCGTGAGGGCCATGATGAGCAGGCCAGTGGGCGGCAGGGGGGTGCAGGGCGAGGAATTAAAAAAAATAAAAATAAAAAGGGAAAAGAATAGGAGAGGAAGTGTTAGTCCACTGAGGTGCTATGGTTGCGTTGACAGCAAACGCTTGGGGAAAGGGGGGGAGAGAAAGGAGCAAGCGGGTTCGACTAAGTATAGAAAGAGAAAGTGAGACGAAACGCTGATCAGGGGAGGCGAGACAGGGGGCGAGCTATGGCTTGTGCCGGGGTAGCTGAAATACCGGCTCTGCGGGTCGCAATACTCGAGTGCCGTATTATCCAGCAACAAACCACCGAAAGAGACAAGAGGAAGGGGAGAGGGGGAGGGGGGAGAGAGAGAGAACAAGTAGCAAGAGAGGTACGATTCTCAAATAAGACCTAGGGTTTTAAGGGTTTAAAGGATGGGGATGTCTCTCCAGGTGTGATCCGGCCCTGTGATAGGCTTGGTGTCTATTCACCTCATACTATAATCTTATCTAGGTGTGGGCTTGTCTTCCTATGATTTGTACAATAGCTCAACTCGGGTCGTCACCATCATAGTCGAGTATATACATGTACCAGTCAAGCCAGGTGCTGGCTGATTGATTGAGCCAGCAGTGGGCGAAGGGAATAAATTTAACGGGCCGAGCGAGCAATTGTGCTCCAGTGCTGGTGCTCAGGTATCTTACTTGTCTAGGACTACCCGTACTCGCATGAGTACTCGTAGTGCTCGAATAGGCTAGACCACAGAAGACAGCGCCCTAGCGCAACAGGAGAACCACCATTTTTATTGGTCCTGGCGGTGATAAACATAGGAACAACCCCCGCAATCTGCAAGTACGGTACTCGAGCATACCGCACAGTAGTAGTACAGAATAGCCGACAGCGGTTTACGGGCAGGTAGGGATGGCAGTATTAAAAAAGAACTTGAAGGGAGCGGTTAAATTCCGTATCCGTTTGGCATCCATCACAAGAATCTCTTCGGACTCCCATTCCCATGCCCACCCAAAGCGGTTCTCGGGCACAGGGCCGGTAGAGAAACGAATCTGGGCCCGAGTACAGTACCGAGCCTAGCATTCTCCCCATCAAGGATCCTCGGCCCGTGCTTTTCACCTTGCTAAAGAAATATTTCTTATTCTAGATGGTGAAAACTCTGCACTTTGTCTGTGTAATGACCCTACATTGATGAGGTATGGCAACCTATGTCTATGCCCATACATGTAACCAAGAGGTGAACTGGTAGACTAGGCGGGCAGGCCAGAGCATGTCTCTAAAAATCTCCAATGGTCTAGATATCTCTGCACATATAATGTATTAAAGGGATTGGTGTACCCAAGTAGCAGTAGTAATATGACCATATCTACACTATTTCAAGAATAGGTTAGAGGGCTAGGTGAAGTTATCCTGCCTAAGAGAGTCATATTACCCTACTATAGGAACTATTTTCATATCATTATAGACATCATTACCCTATCTTTGAGACACTATTATACTATCTTGTATTAGAAATATTCTCAGAGGAATTTTGAGAAATGATAGAATTGTTTCTTATGCAATGATGATCGATGGGCACTTGCTTGCATGTTGATTGGACAACTATAGGAGAAACAATAGAGCTCCAAACATGCTATCCTGTAACTTGGCAGAAATATTCCTAATAGATTCTCTAGCCCCAGGGTTTGCCTCAGGCATCATAGGCTATAATGGGTAGTGTTGCTGTCTTTCTAACTAAGTGGAGTCAATGAAGACATATCTATAACACTGTATAAGTTACTGCTATCTGTCTGACCAGAAGGTGTTTGCAGGATATACAAGAGGAGTAAGGTGAAAAGATCAGGTACCTTCTCCAAGTTGAATAGAGTAAAACAGACTAAAGCTTATGGAGTTAGTATGACCTATCTTAAAGGGTTCTCAGGGAAGTCTCAGGTAGTACTGGAATGTTTGGGAAGGTTTTATACTAATCAAACCTACATGTACCTCTTTGCCATAGGCTTATTAGTGGTTATTTGAGGAATCTAAAAGTAGGATTCTTGTTGCAGTGAGTAGTATGTTGAGGGTAAAGAACTATAGGTAGCAGCTACAGGTCATGCCCCTAGTGCAGCTCTCCCCCTCAAGTAAATACTGTAAGTATTTGAAGTTTGCAATCAAGAAAGATAGAACTTAATCTGATACAGCGGAGATATACAGGTATTTTCGTAGATCATTGCACATGGGTAGAGACTTAATTAGTTAGCTCTCCCAAGGTGATTCAACAGTTAGCCACTAACAAAACACTAATATATAAAAGTTTTCTCACTGGTAGGCATATTGGTAATGCCTGACAGAAACTGACATGCATATAGAGGATTACAGCTAGAGTAAGCTGATACCTTAGGCCCTAAAAGGATATGATAATAGTGCCAGACAACCCTTAGTAGAGAAGGGTATACTCATAATGGTCAGAGTAACCTAACAGAGGAGTTTTTAGTATAAGTCTAACTACTTAAAGATTATACAAGAACTCTCCTTGCTTGATATAATCAACACACTCTTGGGACCTGAATTGAGATAAGCTTCCTCTTAATAATATTAATTTTTACTGCTTACTTTATTCTTTACATTTGTAAGAGCTGAATTCACAGAGTTTTGAAGTTTTATTTGGTTATATTATTAGAATCCAACTTTTAAGGAGAGCCCTATTATATCCTGCTATGATAATTATAAAAAGCCTTCTGATCACCTTACTTATACTTTACAACCTTTATATTCTTATTGATTTACCTTGTACTACCAGGCTCTTCCTTACACTAATACTTTTTATATTATGTAATACCAACTCTGGGTCCTATACCAAAAGTTTCTTCTGTAGAGTATTAATATACAAAGTCTAGTTATACCAGCCTGAGGACTAATCCCAGCTACTCCTCCACTCTCCTTACTAGTTAAGAGTAATCCATTCAGGCTTTCTGGACCTCAGTTTGGAATGTCCTTAAGTAGAATATAGCTGATTTCTTCTCTGTTTTTCTCCTAACCTTATAGATTATATCAATACTTAAAAAGACCTTATTTCTTTTCTCTAGGTTCTTAGCCTAATTACTATAGTTGAACAACTAACTGAAGTTGTTTCTATACTGTTCTCCAAAGTGGATGGATGACCTTCAGGTTACTGCTTCTAACTGCATCACCAACCCCGCTTATACTGCTGTACTCTATCACTAGTCTTTCAAGATCACCTTACTTGCTTTCTCTTCTTTATCAACTTCTATTACCTACCTACTTCATATTAGTAAAAATTATTGTCGCATTGGAGGTGTCAGCTATGTTATTTATAGAAGGGTAATCAGTATAGCATATGACTAAATGTATAAGATTACATGTTTGACTTTAGTCCCTGCTATAGCTATTGTGACCAGAAAATATTATTGCATAGAACAATAAGGCATCTATATAACCTACTCTGAGGAGACACAAGGTATGTGACTAAGGGATTTTCTCTGGATAATATAAAAGGAGCTCTACTCTGTAAGACAAGAGTTAATTAGAGTAAATTAGTTGGTTAGTTATAGAGTGACAACTTGTGCAAGTCTATGTGCCATTACTCACAAGGATTCAAGGAGTAATATATAAACCATTTAAGTTTACTGGAACTAGAGTCATCTGGAGACTGATTTACAATTAGTTAAGTATAATGTATGAACCTCTAAGTAGGCATATTAGTTATCTCTATCATGTACTCTAAGCTAAGTATATAAAGAGGCATTGATAAGTCCTTTGATAGGTCTGATTAATTGACGTAGAATGAGAGTAGAATAGTCAGTTTTTTGGAATTAAACAGAGTTTGTACTCTGAAAGATACTGAATCATTAGTATGGCAGATGTATAGTCAGTAACGGATGTGATGTAGCTGGTGAGCAGCTAGATATAGAATATAAATATCAAGATACCTCTTGAGGTTCAAGACGTCCCACCGCCGCCTTCCCTCCCTGCAGCCTCTGCCCTTAGCTCGTGGTTCGATCGATACCTTGGTGCCCTCTCAGCCCTACTCCTGGCCCCGGCCCCACTAAAACGCCCTTCACTTAGGTCCAAGCCCTGGTGGTCCCCCCTCTTGACCTCGCTGCGCCGTGATTTCAATGCAGCTGCCAGAAGGTCCCGCTCCTCCCCCTCTCTCACACTCAATACAGAGGCCCGCGAGGCCCGCTCCCTCTACTTCAAGGCGATCAAGAAGGCTAAGGCCGAGCATTGGAGAAGCTTCCTTGCCAAGGTTGACTCCCGCTCAGTCTGGACGGCCAAAAGGCTTGCCACTGGAAGAGCCCCTGACCGCTTCCCCTCCTTCCCCGGCCTCTCCTCCCCCGAACAGATCAACTCAGCGCTCCTGGATCACTTCTTCCCCCACAAGACTCCTACTCCCACCCCATCCATCCTCATGCCCTTCCGTGACTCACCCCCTCTCTCCCCCGAGGAGGTACAGAAGGCCCTGTCTAAGTCATCCAACTCGTCAGCCCCAGGCCCGGACCAGATCCCCTACGGGGTCTGGAAGAAGGTCCACGCAGCTAACCCCTCCCTCCTTGTTAACCTCCTCTCGCCGTTATTAGCTTTTGGCTTCCACCCTCCCTCCCTCAAAAAGGCCAATGGGGTCGTTCTCTCCAAGCCAGGTAAACCGGACTATTCCTCCCCCTCCTCCTTCCGCATCATCGTCCTCCTCCAGACCGTCTCAAAAATTCTAGAAAGGATCGTTGCCTCTCGCCTTTCCCTAGTGGCCCGCTCACGCGGCCTAATCAACCCAAATCAGTGCGGCTCGCTCCCTGGACTCAGCACCTATGACGCCTGCGCCGCCCTCACCCACGAGATCCAATGCCTCCAGAGGCCCGGGCTCAAAGCCTCGTCACTCCTCCTTGACATTAGAGGGGGGTTTGACAACATCAACTCAACGCTACTCACTACTTTCATGAAGTCCAGGGGGGTGCCTCCATACATCTGTGCCTGGGTTCAGTCTTTTCTTTCCAATAGACATTGTCGTCTTCT